TATGTTATGTTGTAATCTTCATTTGTTTCTGGGAATTTTTTGATTTCTCTTTTGATTTCTTCTGTGACCCACTGTTCATTCAGGAGCATGTTGTTCAGTCTCCAAGTGTTCACAGAAGAAAGAATATCCAAGCCAGAAGACAAATCTTTGGAAATATCTCTCCATCAGACAAAAAAAATAATAATAAGAAGAAAAAATTATAAAAATCTGGAAATAGTGTTCCAAATTTATGGGTTGGTATTAAAGGACAAAACATACATGTCTTAGGAGTACCTAAAGGTGTGGAAAGACAGAATAGATTATAAGACCTCTTCAGTGAAGAATAAGAGAAAACTTCCCAAATTTGGAGAAAGATATGGATATTCAAGTACAGGAAGCACATAGAAGTCCTAATAGACATGATCAGAAAAAATTTTTACAATGACACATTTTCTTCAGACTTTCAGAAGAAAAATGTAATGAAAAGATCCCAAAATGTGTACAAGAGAAATGCCAAATTACCTTTAAAGGATTTCCAATTAGATTGACAGCTGATTTCTATCAGAAACCCTACAGGCTATGATAGGGTGGAGAGACATCACCCCAAATCCTATTAACAAAGAGTTAACCCAGAATACTGTACCCAGTGAAGCTCTCATTTATAAATAAAGATGAAATACAGAGATTCCAAAACAAATGGAAATTGAAAGAATTTGTCACCACATTAGCTCTTTAGAAGTTTGGTAGAATTCAGCAGTGAAGCCATGGTCCTGGACTTTTCTTTGTTGGAAGAGTCTTTATTGCAGTTTCAATTTCCATCTTGGTTAATGGTCTATTTAGGTTTTCTATGTCTTCATGCCTCAATTTTGGTAGATCATATGTGTCTAGAAAGTTATCCATTTATTCTGTATTTATGAATTTATTGGCATATAGCTGTTTGTATTCCTGATTCTTTTTTACTTCTGTGATAGCAGGTGTAACATCTGCTTTTTCATCTCTGATTTTATTAATTTAGGTCTTCTCTCCCTCTCCCCCTTTTGATTAGTTGGGCCAGTGATATATCAATTTTGTTTTTTTTTTTTTTCAAGCACCAGCTCTTCATTTCACTGTTGTTTTATATAGTTTTTTTTTTTATTTCATTTTATGTATTCTCTGACTTTTATTGTTTCTTTCTTCCTAATTTAGAATTTGGTTTGTTCTTGTTTTTCTAGGTCTTTAAGGTGCATTTTTAGGTAATTTAGTTGATACCCATCTAATTTCTTGATGTCACTAATTGCTATAAACTTTCCTCTTAAACACTGCTTTTGTTGTATCCCTTAGCTTTTGATACCTTGTTTTGTCATCTTCATTTGTTTCAAGGAATTTTTTTGATTTCTATGACCCACTGCTCATTTGGGAGCATACCATTCATATTCCATGTGTTTGTATCTATTCTAGAATTTCTTATGTTGTTAATTTCCAACTTTATTTCCCTGTGGTCAGAAAAGATACATCGTAAAATTTCAGTTTTTTGAATTTGTTGAAACTTGTTTTAACACTCTTATGTATGATGTCAGTGATCATCTGAGGCTCTTGACATGAGTTTCCAAGGCTATGGAAGCCTTTTGAGTCCACACTCTGTCAGTATTTAGACAAATCCATAAGCAATGTAGAAGTTCTCTCCTCCCTTCAGAGAAAAGTCCATCCTTCTTTGATGGCCCCTTCTTTCCACTGGGGCCTCATTCACAGAGATCCTTCATATAGGATTTTTTTTTTTTTTTTTTTTTTTTTTTTTTTTTTTTTTGCCACGGTGTCTTTGGCTTTCCACACCAAGAAATGCTCCCATGGGCTTTTCAACCATCCATTTACATTTAGGGTTAGTATTGATAAGTAATGAGTTGGTCCTGAAATTTTACATAAATATTCCTTTTGTTTGTTTTGGCTCTCCCTTATATTATTACTAGGAGGTTTTGTGCCTTTACATTCTTTCATTATGCCAATTATATTTCTTTTTCTGTATGTATTATCCATCATATTATCCATATAATCTATCAGATTATGTTTGTTGTGCCCACATCACATATTGCAGTGCCTGAGTTTGAGGTCTGGCTCTGCTCCCATTCCAGCTTCCTGATGATGTGCACCCTGGGAGACAGCAGGTGATAGCCCAGGTAGTTGACTCCCTGCCACCCACATGAGAGACCTAGACTGAATTCCAGCTATCAGGCATTTGGGGAGTAAACCCGAAGCTAAAGGAGCATTCTCACACTATTTGTCTTTTTTTTTTTTCTCTCTCTCAAATAAAGAAAATAAGTAAATAGACTCTTAATGTAACCTTTAAAAAATAATTGTAAAGAATACTGAGGCAGGTGGTGCATTAGGTTAAGCCTCCTGCTTGCAACACCTGCATTCAAGTCATGAGTACTCCTTGCTTCTGGACCAGCTTCCTGCTGGTGCACCTGAGAGGCAGCTATGATGATCCAGCTACTTGGGTTCCTGCCACCCACGAGGGATACTCTGATAAAGTTCCTGGCTCCTGGCTTTGGTATGTTCCAGACCCAGCTGTTGTGAGTATGTAGGGAATTAACCAGCTATGGAAGATCTGTCATACACTTTCTTTATGGTGGTGGTGCTATTTGTGATACCTGACAAGGCAGTAATCCCAATTCTGTCTTTGTGTATGAAAAGCAAGTCTGATGTAATATTGAGTGGGAAATGTTGGAAAAGAGGTCAAAGCTCGCATTGGCGTGTAATCAGATGATTGTAAGAGGTACAGGTAATAATCAGATTTAGTATTCCAGAGGTAAATACTTAGACTAATCAGTTCTTAAAGAGATTTTTCCAGTTATACTGTTATATTTTTATAAGCATTTTCTTAGAAACAAAGTTACAATGATCAATGTAGAGCACAGGATGTCTTTGATTCTGAATAAGTTATTCAGGTGTTTGTTTAATGTTTAGTTTGCTTTTTAAGAACAAATATAATTTTATGAAATTGTTTGAGGTCATTTAGAAATAAAGTTGTGAAATGAAGGAAGCAAAAAAACTTAGCTGAGTAGCTAAAATAAGTGCAAAAATACCCTATAACCAATTGAACATTATATTACAGGGCTATTAAGGAAGAATAATTAGATTTAGTTATCTTTTTTAGTAAAAAGAAAAAAAGGATTTTGGTAGGAAAACAACTTGTTATCTTGTAACCCACAGTAACTGAGTATTTGGTATTAGCAATAGCAGAACTGCACAATCAAAGAGTAGAAGCATGGTTGTAGGCAGCACTGTTAAGTGGCAATATAATGCAAATTGAGTATCTAATTTTGATTTTTTTAACAGCTGCATTTAAAAGGACAAGGAACTGGTAAAATTAAATATATTTCTAACCCAGTATGAGTAGACTATTATTAATGAGATAACTTACATTTCATTCTCAGTTTTCAAAGCCAGTTGTATTTTATACTTACAGCACATCTCAATTCTGATTAGCCATATTTTTTTTTTTTTTTTTTACAGGCAGAGTGGACAGTGAGAGAGAGAGAGACAGAGAGAAAGGTCTTCCTTTGCCATTGGTTCACCCTCCAATGGCCACCGTGGCCAGCGCGCTGCAGCCGGCGCACCGCGCTGATCCGATGGCAGGAGCCAGGAGCCAGGTGCTTTTCCTGGTCTCCCATGGGGTGCAGGGCCCAAGCACCTGGGCCATGCTCCACTGCACTCCCTGGCCACAGCAGAGGGCTGGCCTGGAAGAGGGGCAACCGGGACAGAATCCGGCGCCCCAACCGGGACTAGAACCCGGTGTGCCGGCGCTGCTAGGTGGAGGATTAGCCTAGTGAGCCGTGGCGTCGGTGATTAGCCATATTTTGAGTGTTCATTAGCAACACTGTGGCTAGGAGCTACCATATTGGACAGTGTAGATTTAAGTTACAGAGCCAAGAATAGATGACTCAGATTTTACATTTTAATAAGTGTTTCTTTGGTGAAATAGAAAATAATGTTTTAAAAATTTGAGACACACACACACAGAGGAGAGAGAGAGAGAGAGAGAGAGAGAGAGAGAAACACTCTGATCTTGTAGTTCATTCCCCAAATCCCCACAATGGCCAGTTGGACTAAAGCTGGGAGCCTGGAACTCAATTCATGTCTCCCACCTGGGTGGCAAGGACCCAACTACTTGAGCCATTACCTGTTGCCTTCTAGGATCTGCATTAGGATGAAGCTAGAGGTGAGAGCTGGAGGTGGGACTTGAACCCAGGTACTCTGATGGGATACTTGGGTATCCTTAACCAGCTGTTTAACGGCTAGGTCAAATGCCTGCCCTCCAAACATATTTTTGCACATTTTCCTATCACATTCCTAATTCAGAGCAACATCTCTGGCATGTTGAACTAGCACAATGACTTTCTTTTTCCCTGGTGTTGAAGAATCTATCTGAAGGTTCTGGTCTTAGTGTTTCCGGATCCTGTGGCTCACCCAATAGAAAGTCTTCTGTAGGAAGTCATGTTTTTCAGGATAATTTATGCTCCTCAGCTTGGTGCCCAAGAACCTGTATGAGCCGGCTCCTTTCATGTCTCAGGCTCATTTCCTGCCCTGCACTGCTACCTGGCTTTAGCTCCCCGAAGGATTTACTATTACTCCTATTACGTGCCCTTCCACTTTTTCTCTTTGCTGGATGCCGTTTAACCTTAACCCTTCTACCTCTTTACCCAAAAAGCTAGGACTTCAGAATTCAGCATATGTGTCATTTTTTCCCTGGGAAAACCTCTCTTGTCCACTAGTAGGTACACGGAAGGTAACCTATACAAATCTCAGACTGGGAGCAAGCAGTGGATGAATATCAATAATAGAAAAGAGTTATCAGTAGGCTAAATGGCACAATCTATTGGGAACTTAGGGAGTAGTTATATAACTAGGATTGTTTCCAGACAATGTACACTATATAGCCTTACAATAGTATATAAGTATATATATTATATACAATATATATTTATATATCATATATATAAAAATTATATAAATTATATACAATAGTATATAAGCTTTATTTAAAAGTATATAGTTAATTGAGACACAATCCGAGTTAATCGACATTAGAAGATTTAATGTACTCTTATGCAAAACACATAAAAGATGAAGTCCTCAGGTCTTCTGGGCAGGGCATAAGGGAGAAGAGGAAGGGGGCAAAGCATGGCATGGGGCTACCGAGTCCCTCTGTGTCCCTTTGTTCTCTGGCATTTGGAATGTAGAGCCTTAGCGAACACTGGTCGCCTTGACTACCAGCAACTTGGAAATAAAGGGAAGTCTCCCTGTGCGCCTGAGCCTCCACACTCCTGGAAAGATCTGACCTCACCCAGTCATGCCTCATGGGCAGTTACCTGGGCAAGTCCAGCCCACCCCAGCCTGTCCCCTCGCAGGAGGGCAAGGACCAGCGGGAGACGCTTGACCGCCACCCACTCGGCCGCGCCCCGTTGCTGACGCCCCCTGGCCACCAGGTTCCCCGAGTTGACCCTTCTCCTGGCTGCCAGCCCTCCGGGAGGCCTGCCCAGCGGCATGGTCAGACTTCCTTCAGTGGGTTTCAAATAACGCCTCGCAGACGCTACCCGATCCAGCAGCCCCGATATTCCCGTGTGGGTTGCCTACCGACCGTGTGCTGGAATGGCAGCCCCAAGAAGCCTGTGCTGTCTGTTCGTAACTCCAAGATGGTGTGTAGGTCGGGGACGGTGAGGGTCCCCCCTCTTGACCGCAGGCTGACTCGCCGCCCAGGACCTGGGCAGATCATCAGCTCCACCCAGCCCTCGCAGTCTGCTAAGTCTCCGGACCCCTGTGCCCCGCAGAGTGGTGCCACCGCCCTCCCAGAGAGGAAGAGGAGGAGGAGCCCAGCAGGGGAAGACCAAATCCTCCGGGCTGGCCCGGAGACTAAGGGAGGCTGCCCTGCTGGCCCTGGGCAGGGGCAGCCAGCCGTCTGGGACCCGCTGACCGGTCCCCAAGACTCAGACGCCCACTTGAATAAGAGACCCCGCCACTCTTCTGAGAGCTCCCCAGAGCGCTCCACCACGGCTGGCATCCCTGTGCCCGTCCGCAACGCCATTAGCAGCTCCTACAGCTCCACTGGCGGCCTGTTGTGGCCGAGGAAGCGGGGCCGGCCCACGATGAGTGCCTTCTGCGGGCCGGCCGCCTCCTGCTCCAAAATACCAGAGAGGCCAGCAAAGGTGACTGGGGAGGAGGCGCTGGGGCCTCGCTCCAGTACCTCACCTCCCTTGGTGACGGACAGCGAGTCCCAGAGAGGAAGAGCGGTAGGTGCAGCCGCGGAGAAACCAGGCTTGCGGAATTCCTCGCCTACACCTGGCGGCTCCTGGCCACATAAAAGGAAGTTTGCTGAGCAGCTTTCCGGGGGAGGGGACCTGGGCACTCTGCCTCCCGCGCCCCGGCTGGGCTATCCTGTCACTCTGGAAGATGGTGACATGGCAACGAAAGGTTCATCTCGGTGGCTTAACCAGTTTGTGGAGCACAGGATGGATGCTGCCCAAGAGTCTGCCCCCGGGAGCCCACCCCGCACTCAGCCTCCCAGCGCGCTCCCGCTGCCCGCAGCCAGCACTGCGCCCTCATCAGCTGCCTTCTGGGGCCCGATAAAGAGGCAGACTGCTCTGCGGTTTCCAGCCTTCCCAGAATATGCTGGAGTAGCAGCGACGGTGGCCCCTTCGCCTGCGAAGATAGCCCGCCTAATGGGCCCTGTTGACTCTTCACGGCCACAGCGTCTTCCCGCCAACTCTTTAGATCTCAAGCTTGTAGCCCCTTTTGTGGGGCTGATCCCTGTTCCTGCTATGAAACTGGCCAGTGACACCAAGTCCCTGCCATCCCTCCGGGCTGAGACATCTGTCAAAGTCCCGATGCCACAGGGCCTGCTCACTACCCCCTTGCCATGGATGCTGCTGGACAAGCCGGGCAGCCCACCTCCTCACGCTGTCCTTCCTGGTGCTGCTGCTGCTGCTGAGAACTTGACATCCCCCATGTTCAAGACCATGTGTATAGCCTCATCTGGAAGTGAGAGTGCAGGCCCTTTGCCATCTGGCCCCATACTCACAACTCCGGCATCTTCCAGCATCACCATCCCCACGACGACCTGTACTTTCACTCTAAGTGTAAAGCCTGCCTTTGCCAGCACAGGGTCTGCTGCACCTGTGCCCTTGGCCAAGCACTTCTCCTTCAAGCTGAACCCTGCATCAGCCACCGCTCCAGCTTCAACTACCCCTGTCTTCACTAGCCAGGCTCCTGCCACCTGCACAGAGGCCTCTGCCACAACTACAAGTACGAGTGAAGATTCATTTTGGCTTTGGTGTCAGCGATGTGACCAGCCTCCTGAGAAAAGTGATTGCTTTTGGCTTTGGTTTAAGCGATGTGACCAGCGCTCTGAGCTGTGTGACTAGCACCATTGCTGCCCCCACAGCACAACCTTTTCTCTATGGGACTCCTGCTTTAGGTGCCAGCTTTACCCTAGCTGTGGGCTCCATATTCCATTTTGGCAAGCCTCATGCCTCGTTGACATGAAACACAGTCACCACTTTGGCCAGTCCCTTCCCAGTACCCTGTAGATAGCCACCTGCAATGCTGCCAGCTGTAGTGATTTTGGCAGCTCCTCCACCACCTCAGCCCAGTCACCTCCAGGCAGCCTGCACTGACACGCAACAACATGACCAACCCCACATTGAACAAGGCCTTTGCTAAACCCCACGCTCCCTCTCTTGTCATACTCAGAAGCCAATCCCTGGCCTGCATTTGGGGACACAGATGGGCACCCTTGTGCCATGGCAGCCCTTGCCCTAAACTTGGGCAGCTCATTGACTGTGGGAAACCCTGCAATCCCATCCCTCACTGCAGTGCTAGTGCTGGCTCTTGCCCAGACAGCTTTTGGCAATGCCATGTAGTTGGCACTTGGTGGTTTGAAAATCATAGCCACTGTTTTGGTGCCCCTTAATGCACCACCCAGCCAGGGCACACCCCGTGCCTTCAGTGTGGCCAGGATGGCTCAGAGCATTTGGAGGCATCTCCACACCCCCCTTTGGTCAGACCACCCCTGTTCCTGGAGGGATACATTGGGTAGCAGCCTCTCCTCTGTGGCATCCTTGGCACGTACCCACAGCTTTGTTGATCTTGGCCCTTCTGGATCAGCAGCTGCTTCATTCTCCATTGGTGCAGAATCCAAGATCCCAGGGGCTCAACAGCAACTACAAAGTTGAAGACAACACCCTCTCAAGAAATAGCCTTTATCCTTTGTCCGTATCCCCCCACCTCCCACCCCTAGAGCAAATCTGAATCTTGGCACCTGCTAGAAAGAGATCTGACCCCCTGAGTTCCATAAGGTAAACCTACCCCACATCTCTGGCTTCAGCCACCAGGGTGGTAGTGACAACCCGGGGTCCTTTCCTCCTTCCTCCTTCCTCCTTCCTGAAAGAAGAGGGCGCTGGAGGAGCAGGCAGAAGGCAGCAGGGCAAGCCCAGACTTCACTCGGACAGCCCAGGAGATTAGATCCTGGGAAAGAAAAGTTCTCTTCCCCATGCTGTTTCTCTCCTTTACCTGACATGACTGTAGGAAACATCACCTTTGGATTATGTTAGTAAACCCAAGTTGATGGGCCATACTTATTTTAAAATAGTATTTTCATTCTTTTTCCCAAACAGGGCCCTCTCTAACCCTTCTCCTTTCTTCCTTTACCCCCAGGCATTGTACCCTGGACCCCAAAATCAGCCTCTTTGGAAGAAGTATGAATGCAGGTGTCTAAGACAAAAAATTAAAATTTTTCACGAAACTTTATTTTTGTGTTTAAGCTAAATTGCTTTTAACATCCCTTCAGGCTTGTTTCATTGGTTAAGTATAAACACTATTGACAAGAAATTAGCTTTAGAGTTGAGTTATGCATGTGTAATAAAGCCAGTCAAATGCTGTTACAGGCAGTTTTCCTGAGAGACTGGAGCTCCTTTGGGACACACATTTCATAAACAGTGTGATGTAGATTGTAGGTGTAACGGTCCTTCCCCCCACCCCCACCCCACCCCGTTTTGTAACTGAGCTTTTGTGTTCTGTGATGTGGACTGCTAAGTCCTCATCTCCAAGAAGGGCTCTGAAATGTGATGTGTTAATACTTGGACAGGTGGGAATCTGAGGCATCCCAGGTAGCTGTTGAGATGGGAGAGATGGGGACCGAGAATGGGAATGCAAAGCAGGCTCTGAGCTACCTCCTAATTCAGTATGCGAAACTAGTTTACTTCAGCTCTGCTGGCAGGATAGTTGGTCCAGGATGCTAATGCAGAGGGAGTTCTGACATTAGCCTGCGTAGGTGTGTGAGTATGTGGGGGTGAGTGTCCCCAGAGGACATCTTTGGGAAATAAAAGGTGTGTTTCAGCTTACAGTCTGGAGGTTACAGTTCAGGATCTGGTGGTTTCTGTGGAGGCTGCTCATGGCAGGGACAGAGGAACAATCACGTGGTGAGTCAGGAAGCAAAGCAAGGTAGAACTTCAATTCAAAATAACCAGCTTTTGCAGGAGGACCACTCTCTGCGGGCATGCCCCCAGTGACCTGTTTACAGCTCCCACCAGACCTACCTCTCAGTCACCTTAATAAGATCAAGTCTCTACCCTTAATCTGTCAACCATTAATATTAAGACGTCAGAGTAGAAGCATCTGCATGAGTTTTGGGGAGACAACTTCTACTCATAGCATTCCACCCTGGCTACCCAAAACTCATGATCCTGCTAATTAGGTAGGAGATCCAAATGGGGTTCCTGGCTCCTATCTTAGGCCTGGCTCAGGCTAGCTGTTGGAGGCCATTTGGGGCACAAAGCAGTGGATAGAAGGTCTCTTTGTCTCTCCTTTTCTGCCACTGTACCTTTCAAGCAAATCTTATATTTGTAAAAAGAATACTAAAGGATTAAAATATTATAGCATTGGCAATCCATGTCAATTTAGCTTTGACCTAGTTCTAGCTCTTTTCTGGCTTTATGGTAGGCAAGCGGAGGGTAATAGTTTTAGAAAGAATCTGGGTCCTGTTTGATAAGTTGTGATTTGGGACCTGAAATGTGCCATGAAATGTTGCTTTAGGTTGCAAGATGAAGCAAATGGAGCCAAGAAACTGCCAACGCACAGGGACCTTGGAACTCTTTACCACTGTATTTTATTCAGTAGTGATGGTGGAAGAAAGCTGAAAAATTCCCAGAATGAGAATTTTTCAAAAATTCAAAATATTAAAAAATGAACCTAAGTATAGCCTCTTAAAGTGAGGAAAGCTTATTTAAGAGTTTCTACTAAAAGCTGGAGATTTTCTAGGAAGCTTACTTGGTATTGCAAGCACATAAATGTGATTATTATTAGTTTTAAGGGTTTGATGGTCAACTGCTCATGATTCAGTATCCAACAGAAGGTAACGAAAAGGGCTAAGGATTTTTCTCACTTATTTGTTTGAAGCTTAAGGGGAATTTAATTTAAGGGAGAAAAATCAATATACATTCCACTACTTACAATATTCACATTCTTTTTTGAAGTTCAAATTTATCATTTCTTTTTTTAAAGATTTATTTTATTTATTTGAAAGACAGAGTTACAGAGAGAGGTAGAGACAGAGAGAAGGTCTTCCATCCGCTGGTTCACTCCTCAGATGGCTGCAGTGGCTAACGCTGTGCTGATCTGAAGCCAAGAGCCAGGAGCCTCTTCTGGGTTTCCCACGAGATACAGGGGCCCAAGGACTTGGGCCATCTTCTACTGCTTTCCCAGGCCATAGCAGAGAGCTGGATCAGAAGTGGAACAGCCAGGCCTTGAACTGGCACCCGTATGGGATGCTGGCGCTTCAGGCCAGGGCTTTCAACCTGCTGCACCACAGCACCGGCCCCTAAATTTATCATTTCAAGAATACTTTCATATTATATCAGATCCAAAATATTTGATATATGTATATTACATTCAATTATGTTCCTTCAAACTTTATTTTTACACCATCATAAAATAAAAACAATAAAATATTTGTGAGGGTATAGATAAAATTTTTATCTTTATTTTACAGGGATGTAGTGTAGAATTCATTTTGTCCATGTGGCTTGACCTCATGGAAAGTTCATGACTATAACATTGTGGTTTATTCACTCTTCGCTCATGCCTTCAAGTGTATTTTATTATTATTCAATTTTAACATTTTTGCCATATTCCCTTCCTTATAAACAGTATGTATATACACATGTATACTATTTTTTCTTGAAAACTGACATTAATATCACAGAATATAGGGATTTAAGAAATTGATCATAATGTGGAGAAAGAAGGGGATATTTTTATTTACATGATATGATTCAGTGATGTAATATTTATAACCAAATATCAAATGATACATCATACACACAATTTTTAAATTTTTTTATTAATATAAAAACAGATTTTTTTGCTTTCCATAGATACAGTTCCACAAATACAACCACACTTAGCTCACATCCCCTGCACCTCACCAATCCTGGAGTAGTATTCCATTATGTATATATACCACATTTTTCTTAATCCAGTCCTCAGTTGATAGACATCTGGGTTGATTCCACATCTTAGCTATTGTGAATTGAGCTGCAATAAAAATGGGGGTACAAAAAGATCTTTTGTATGTTGATTTCATTTCCTTTGGGTAAATTCCCAAGAATGGGATGGCTGGGTCATATGGTAGATGTATTTTCAGATTTCTGAGGACTCTCTATACTGACTTTCATAATGGCTAGACTAGTTCACATTTCCACCAACAGCCGATTAGGGTACCCATTTCCCCACATCCTCACTGCATTTATTTTTTGTTAATTTTCTTAATTAAAGCCATTCTAATGGGGGTGATGTGAAACCTCATTGTGGTTTTGATTTGCATTTCCCTGATGGCTAGTGATCCTGAGCATTTTTTCATGAGTTTGTTAGCCATTTGAATTTTATCCTTTGAAAAATGCTTGTTCACGTCCTTTGCCCAACTCTTGACTGGATGGTTTTGTTGTTGTTTAGTTTCTTGAGCTCTTTATAGATTCTGGATATTAATCCTTTATCAGTTGTGTAGTTTGAAAATATTTATTGTCTCCTATACTGTCAGTTCCCTTTTCACTTTGTTGAGTTTTTACTTTGCAGTGGCAAAGCTTCTCAGTTTGGTGTAATCCCATTTGTCTATTTTTTGTTTTAATTTTAGTGCTTCTAGGGTCTTTTCCAAGAAATCTTTGCCTATTCCTATTTTGCAGAGTTTCCCTAAGGTTTTCCCCTCTAGTAATTTGAAGGTATCGGGTCATAGATTCAGATACTTGATCTATTTTGAGTTTATTTTTGTATATGGTATTAGGTAGGGGTCTTGCTTCATATTTCTGCATACATAGATCCAATTTTCTCTGCACCATTTGTTGAGACTGTCCTTTCTCCAGGGATTGATTTCAGCTTGTGTGTCAAAGATTAGTTGGTTGTAAATGTGAATATTAATTTCTGGGGTTTCTATTCTGTTTCATTGGTCTACATGTCTATTCTTGTGCCAGTATCATGTTTTTTGAATATAGCTATCCCACAATGCATCCTGAAGTTTGGTATTGTGATGTTTCCAGCTTGTTTTTGTTGTTTAAGATTGCATTAGCCATTTGAGGTCTCTTGTGTTTCCATATGAATTTTGGCATTGTTTTTTCTAAGAAGAATATCCTTGGTATTTTTATTGGGAGTTCATTGAATCTATAAATTGGTTTTGGTGATGTGGACATTTTGATGATAGTAATTTTTCCAATCCATGAACAAAGAAGATTTTTTTCCATTTTTATGTGTCTTCTTCTATTTCTTTCTTTAATGTTTTGTAAATTTCATTATAGAGATCTCTCACCTCCTTGGCTAAGTTTATTCTAAGTTATTTAAAGATTTTTTGGTAGACATTTTGAATGGGACTGATCTTACATGTTCTCTCTGTGATGGCATTGTCTGTGTATGCAAAGGCTATTGATTTTTGTGTGTTTATTTTATATCCTGCACTTTTACCAAACTCTCTTATGAGTTCCAATAGTCTCTGAATCATAGAATCATATTATCTACAAACATGGATAATTTTACTTCCTCCTTTTAAGTTTATATCCCTTTGATTTCTTTTTCTTGCCTAATGGTTCTGGCTAAAATTTCTAGAACTATATCGAATAGTAATGGTGAAAGTGGGCTTCTAGTGGAAATGCCTCCAGCTGTTTCCCTCCATGAAAGTGAGCGGGGAACACAGATTTTCCCCTCTGGTAAAATCCCCTGGTCACGACTTGTGAAAGCTGCCACAGCCTCTGCTACTGCTAAGATGGCGCTTTCTCCATGACGGTTGCTGAGTGCTCTTACAGGGAGGATGGGGAGAAAGAAATATACTTGTACTTCACTGGATCAGGTGAGTACCCTACCCTGGCTAGGGCTGCAGGATGGACTCAATGACAGTGTGGTCTGCAAGGTTCTCCCTCAGGCAACATCACCTGTGGCACAGGCTGATGCAGTCTGCTCTCACCTCACTCTCAGAAACTGGTGTCTCCTCCAGCCCCTGGCTGCATCCGCCATGGATGGTGTCTGAGTTCACTGCTGCCCTCACTGTACTGCCCACACTGCTTCACCGTGTCTCTCTTCTTTTATAGGATTTCCATGCAAACTTCTCTCCAGCTCTCCCCTGGGAATGCACTTCCTCTGTGTTTTCTAATGTTATCTACCCTTGGTCAGAGTCAGCATGCCTTTTCCCTATTTAGCCATTATGGAATCCTTCACACAATTTTTTAAGAGCTTTATTTTATTTATTTGAAGGGAAGAGTTACAGAGAGAGA